CTCACGCCAGACACGTGTGAGCATGCCTAAGATCCCAAGAGGGGGAAAAAAAAAAAAAAAAAGATCCCAAGAGGAGAATGGAGGAGAAGGTATTGTGGTGTGGCCATCCCCCCGGGCGGTGATTTCTCTCTTTCTGTCTCTCTGTTTCTTTCTGGCAAGTGCAGCACCCTATAGCAAATAACCTCTTAAAAAAAAAAAGAAAGAAAAATTAAAAAGAAAAGATAGACTCCCCAACATGGTCTTGATGCTACAATCCACCCGCAGCTTTAGCCAGTCCTAGAGCACAGTCACGTTCATGCCCAGCTTACTCAGGCAGGTAGGTCTCTGGACACAAACCTAGATTCCCATGTAGGTCAGTCTCACTGAGTGTTGTTTTTCTAACTAATTTATTTGGGGGGGGGGAATTATTTAACTTTGTCTATTTATTTTAGTTTTACCAGAGACAGAGAGAGAGAGAGAGAGAGATTGAGAGAAAGAGAAAGTGAGGAAGCAAGTCGCCGGGTCCAGGGCTCAAACCACAGTCGACCATGTGGGAGTCCAGCGCCCTAACCAACATGCCATCTGCCGGCCCCAAGTGTTGTTCTTCTTAACACTGCACCACTTCTGGCCACAGTCATGTCTTAAACACTCAAGATGGGGGATGGTCATGCCGCATTCCCTTCTCCTTCATTCTTAGGATTTTCGGCAAACATGACCAGTATGATTTTCAAGATTCAGTGTCCAAGACCTGAACCGCAGTTGGCCATATGAGAATCCAGTGCCTTAACCACCACACCACCTGCTGGCCCATTAAAGTACAACTTTAAATTGACAGTTTGGGAAAGCCTCAGTGTCGAAGCAACATTTGATTGTGAGCCTATAGTAAGAAAGGGCAGGAATCATGTGGGTATCTGGGAGAACGGCATTCTGTCAAAGTAATCGACCAAGTATAAAGATCCTAAAATAGAAGGGAGCTGGCATACTGAAGATCACCAAGGAAGAAGACAGCAAACTTTTCAAGGTACAGGTGACCTCATTTACTTTGGTATATGCTTTAAGCCGAGTGCTGGGCATTCTGTATTTACTGACCTAACCTTAACTCTCTGGTCCACTTATTCATACCTTGTGAAAAGTTCTGCTCCTGAGCTAAGATTTCATTTCGTTCTTCCAAAATCTGCATTAAGGCAGCTTGAAGTTTAGGTGGTAGAATTTCATCCTCATCAGACACCTTAAGGGAAACAATTTTGTATGAGCTTGGAGAAAGTCCAAAATATGCACTAGTTAAATGCCCGAAATTCCACAGGTTCATATATGCTATATCAAACTTGAGAATCAATCTGAAGCTTTCTTCTCTACATGTAATAGAATCTATATTATTTATGATATATATTTTAACTATTCTTTTTCAAATTAAATAATATACTTTATAAGCATTTCTGGTACTTCTCCACCAAAGCTCTCTCATCTACAAGTCTTATGGTATATGACAAAATCATCCCCAAATAAATGGTGCTTCACATGTGATGAGCTGATTGATTCTGATAAAAGACCAAGTCCTGGGAAACATTCTTATTCTTCTCACTGTTTTGGTGTTTATGAACCTACATAGAAGGCTTTATCAACTCTTCCTTTCCACTCTGCAATCCAGAATAAATGACAACTTTTGCCCCTATTGTGCCACGTACATAGTTGTACTAGGCAATTTATAAAGACTTTACGTGTATGTCTGCTTTCCCACATTAGACTATAATGCCTGAGGGCTCAAACTGTGTCTTATTTCTCTGTGAAGTCTCGCTGCCTAACAGAACACCTAGCAATAACCAGTGCTTAATAAATGCTTTTTAAATTTTAATTATAGAAAGGCTTATATATCAACACATTTCGAGTTGAGGGCAGAGTCACCTCTTTTAAAAATGACATTTATGCTGTTTCTTCCTTCCTTCTTTGGGATAGACAGCTACAAACCCAAATCGAACTTTTCAGGTCAATCTTGTATGCTAGACACAGTATCAATTCAAATGTGTGTAGAAACTAAAAGTCTTGCCTGAATCATCTTCTCTAAGTACTTTCACATATTTTCTGTCCAATTATCTTCAAGGAGATCTTTATCCCTTAACATTGTGCAATCATCTTTTTTGTCACTCACCTCCTGTAAGAACTTGTCTGCACAGAGATCAACTATCAGCACCTACGGAATAAAAGAGTCAGGCAAGTTCAACCAGAGACATTCACAGACAAATTCATGAAGCACTGCTGAATCAGGAAGGGGTTTTGATTCTTTTAGGCACTGGGAACAGTTTTTAAAAGATTAACTTTAGGAGGACCAGTAGATGGTGTAATGGTTATGTCGCTGGACTCCCACAATAGTCATTCATGGCTTGGGAACCAGCAGTTAGTGTAATGGCTATGTCGCTGGACTCCCACATAGTCGACACGGTTCGCGTCCCGGACGTGGTGGCTTAAAACTCATGCCGGGCGTGTGAGTGTGCGTGCCCAAGATCCCAAGAGGAGAACGGAGGAGAAGGGATTGTGGCGTGACCATTCCCCCTGAGGGGTTGATTTCTCGCTTTCTATCTCTCTGTCTCTCTCTGTCTGTCTGGCGAGCGCATGCGTCCTATAGCAAAAACCTCTCAAAAAAAACATGCTTCGTATAGAAAAACCCCCTAAAAAAAAAAAAAAAAAGAAAAGAAAAGAAAATAGTCATTCATGGCTTAAAACTCAAGCCAGGTGCCTGTGCACATGTGCCCAAGATCTGGAGAGGAGAATGGAGAAGGGACTGTGGTGTAGCCATCCCTCCTGGGGGGGTGATTTCTTGCTTTCTGTCTCTCTAGCAAGGGAATGTGCCCTAAAGCAAAAATCTCTCCTCTCTAAAAAGTAATAACTCTGGGGCCAGCAGATGATGTGGTGATAGAGACGCTGGACTCAACATGGCCAACCACAGTTCAAGTCCTGGACCTGGCAACTTGCTTTCTCTCCTTCTCTCTGGTAAGTGCACATGACCTGGAGCAAATTAAAAAATAATGATAAATAAAATTAAATAAATGATTCTCCTAAAAAATGAACTCAAAATTGTAGCCCATTTAAAAGTTAACCTATCGGGGGAACCAGCAGTTAGCATAATGGCTATGTCACTGGACTCCCATGTAGTCGACTGCGGTTTGTGTCCCAGACCCGGTGGCTTAGAACTCACACCGGGCGCGTGTGCGTGCGTGCCCACGATCCCGAGCGGAGAATGGAGGAGAAGGGATTGCGGCGTGACCATCCCCCCTGGGGGGGTGATTTCTTGCTTTCTGTCTCTATGTCTCTCTCTGTCCGGCAAGTGCACACTCCCTATACTGAAAACCTCTCCAAAAAAAAAAAAAGTTAACCTATTGGGCCAGCAGGAGGCATGGTGGTTAAGGCACTGGAATTCCCAGAGGGTGTGTGCACTTTACAGGAAGAAAAAGAAAGAAAATCATTGCCAATGGAGCAGTCATGCCACAATCCTTTCTCCTCCATTTCTCCATCCCATCAGATTTGTAGGTATGCACGCACAGCTTCCATCTTTTTCATGACACCAGGGCTGGGATTTGAACCCTGTTGGCCATGTGGAATCTGGATACCTATGTACATCACTTAACAACTGTGCTACAGAGAGACAGAAAGAAAAAAAGAAAGAGTCCCCAAGAAGGCTTGGTCATATTGAAATCCCTTCTCCATCCTTTTGGAATCTTGGGTACATATGCACATGTGCCTGGCATGGTTTTGAAGCTACTAGATTGAGATAGAACCATGTGGACCTAGCTCCCTTAACTACCAGACTGCAGGGCCAGCCCCCAGAAAGTTTTGTTTTGTTTTGTTTTAAATAGAAAAGTTAAAGTTAATGCAGCCAAGTTTGGGGAAGAATAATCTTTTTACTAAGTGGTATTGGCACAGGTAGCTTTCAAAAAAAAATTTCCTACCTCATATTATTCATACAAAAATCAAGTTCTAGGTGCATTCAGAACCAAAAGTGAAAGGCAAGGGACCAGCAGATGGCATAATGGTTATATCGCTGGATTCCCACATAGTCTACCATGGCTCAAGTCCAGGACCCGGCAGCTTAAAACTCATGCTGGGCACATGTGCATGAGTGCCCAAAATCCTGAGAAGAGACTACAGGAGAAGGGAGTTTTGGCATGGCCATCTCTCTGGGGGGTAATTTCTCATTTTCTGTCTCTCGGTCTCACATACTGCCATCTCTTTTCTCCATTTTCCTCTCGGGATTTTGGGCATAATACACATGCCCCTGGTGTGAATTTTAAGCCACTGGGTCCGGGACTCAAACCGTTGTCGACTACATGGGAATCTAGCGACATAACCATTGTTTGCTGGTCCCTCAATTGATAATTTTATTTTTATTTATTTATTTAAAATTATTATTTTATTTAACTTTATTTATTTTCATTTGACCAGAGAGGGACAGATGGTGTAATTGTGAGAGACAGAGAGAGGGAGAGAGAGAAGGAAAGCTGCCAGGTCTGGGACTTGAACCATAATCAGCCATGTGGGAGTCCAGTGCCCTTAGCCACCATGCCACCTGCTGTCCCTTCAATTGATAAATTTAACCACATTAACATAAAGAACTTTAATGTATCATTTTGGAAAATGAAAAAGAAAGTCACACAGAAAGGGGCTGGTGTCCAGAATATAAAAAGATATTTTATACATCATAAGAGGGTAAATAATCCAATGGAAAGGCAGACCATGAATTTTTACAAATGATGATATTCAAATGGTCAATAAACAGAAAAGGCTGTGCAGCCTCAACAGTAATCAAGGAATGCAAATTAAACCACAATGAGAATACAACTACATACCCACCAAATAGGCTAAATTACACAAACTGAAAACTAAGTGTTCGTGAGGATATGGAACAAAAAACTCTCATACGCTGATGGGAGCTTAAATAGGCACAACTATTTTGGGGAAAAAGTTTGACTTTATTCTCTATAGGGCGCGTGCACTCGCCAGACAGACAGAGAGAGACATAGAGACAGAAAGCGAGAAATCACCCCCCGGGGGGATGGTCACGCTGCAATCCCTTCTCCTCCATTCTCCTCTTGGGATCTTGGGCACGCATGCACACGCGTCCTGCATGAGTTTTAAGCCACCTGGTCCGGGACGCGAACCGCGGTCAACTACGTGGGAGTCCAGCGACATAGCCATTACACTAACTGCTGGTTCCCAAAAGTTTGACTTTATTTACCAAAGTTGAAAACATGCTGTGACCCAACAATTCAGTTCCTAAGTATATACCCATAGAACTGCATGCACATATGTACCAAGGGTTACATACAAGACTACATAGCAGCATTAATAACCCAAACTGAAAGCAAATCATATGTTCATCAACTGTATAAGAATGTATAAGAATATTGTGGTATATTCACATAATAAAATACTATACTATATAGTATACTACAGAATGGCCAAACTACAGTTAAATTCGTTGTCCTAGATGAGACTGGCACCATAGACTAGTGGTTAAGGGAGCCAGATCCCATAAGGCCAACTGTATGGTTTGAATCCTAGCCCTGATGGCTAGAAAAAATACACTAGGCCCGTGTGTACGTGCATACCCCAAATCCCAATGGGATAGAAAATGGAGATGAAGGGATTGCAGTGTCACCACAAGCCATTGTGGTGTGCTTTCTCATTCTGCTTCTCTCTGGCAAGTACACACACCCTCTGTCAATTAAAAACAAATTAATCAACACAGAAGATTCTTACAGATAGACATAATACTGAGCAAAAGAAGCTAGATAAGAAATATATATATATTATGTAGGTTCACTAATATCAAACTTAAAACAGAAGAAGTTGAGTAACACTGTCTAGGGGATGCACGCCTAACAGATACAACTGTAAAGAAAAGCTGTGAGTACTGTAAAAATCATTCATTCATTCCTTTTATGAGAGATGAGGAAGGGAATGAAAACTAGAAGGCAGTATCGTGGGGACTTCTGGGTGCTGGCCTTCATCCTGCAAGGTTCCATTCCATTCCAACGCTGATTATGTAAATGTGCTCTTTGTGACAATTCACTAAGCTGGACATTTTGTTTTGGACATTTATCTATACATGAGTTATATGTGAAACAGTTTTTAAAATAATTACTTTTTTTAGTTTGCTATAAGCATGTACACTCACTACTCACTAGTAAGAGACAGAAAGAGCAAGAGAAAGTGGGAAATCACCCCCCCCAGGGGTGATGGCCACACCACAATCCCTTTTTTTTAAAGAATTATTCTTTCTCTCTCCCCCCCACCCCCTCTCTCTCCCTCTCCCTCTCTCTTTTCTTTCTTTTGGTTCATGTCCCAGACCCAGTGGCTTAAACTCACATTGGGCATGTGAAATTTTTTCTTTTTATGTTCTGGTAGAATAATAACATAGGAATTATTGGGACCAGCAGTTGGCATAATGGCTGTGTTGCTGGATTCCCATGAATTCAACAGTGGTTCGAGCCCTGGACCAGGTGGCTTAAACTCATGCCAGGCGCATGTGCATGCATGCCCAAGATCCCGAGAGGAAAATGGAGGAGAAGGGACTGTAGTGTGGCCATCTCCCCTAGGGGGTGATTTCTCGCTTTCTGTCTCTCTGTCTTTCCTGTGAGCACACGTGCTCTATAGCAAAAACCTCTCCAAAAATAAAAAATAAAATAAAATAATAAATAAATAAACAAAATATTCTCATTTTAAAAAAGGAAAGAAAGCCACCAGGTCCAGGCCTCGAACCACAGTCAGCCATATGGGAGTCCAGTGTCCTAAACCACCATGCCACCTGCCGGCCCCCACACCACAATCCCTTCTCCTCTAGCCTCCTCTCTGGATTTTGGGCACGTACACACATATACCCAGCATGCTTTTCAAGCTGCTAGGTTTGGGACTCCTGTGCAGTCAGCCATGTGGGATCCAGCTGCCTTAACTATCATGCCACTGGCTGAATTGAAACAATTCTTTTTTTGTTTTGTTTTTTGTGTGCTCACAGAAGAGACAGAGACAGAGAGAGAAGGAGAGAGAGAAAGGAAAAAATAAGAGAGAGAAAGAGAGAGGGAAAGGAAAAATTATCCCAAGGGGGGATGGCCATGCTGCAATCCTTTCTCCACTCTCCTCCATACCACCTGCCGGCCCGCTGAAACAACTTTTTAATTTTATAACTTTTGCCATAGGACACATGTGCTCTCTGGAGACAAAGAAAGTGAGAAATAACCCTCCATGGAGAATGGCCACACTACAATCCCTTCTCCTCCAGTCTCCTTTCAGGATTTAAGCACACATGCACAGGCACTCAGCATGATTTTCAAGCTGCAGAGTCCAGCACGTGAACCACAGTTGACCATGTGGGAATCCCACACCTTAACCACCACATCACCTGCTGCCCTCTGCCATCCCAAAACATTTTTTTAAAATTAACCGAGAATAACGTTTGTGCTTGACCTGGAAAAAAAATAAAGACCTACCCTTCAGAATAACAAGAATGAGCCCATGGCCCATTACTGTAGCACAACTTCAGATTCATGTGTACTATAGAATTTTTCTCACTTTAATAAAAATATACCAAAATAGGATAGCATAATATATTAATAACAGAAATAGAAACATTAATGACAACTCTACCACTGATAAAGATCACTTATTTTCACTTGTCAGTGCTCCAGTGTTTGGTATCCACAGATACCATTTTTCCCCATCTTACCTCTTCAATGGGTAGGTCCTGAAGCTGTGGTAAGGAGCACGACAGAATCCCAATGAGGAATGGAGTGGGTGAGCACACAATGTCAATCATAGACACTGGCAGGACTGGGATGTAGGTGTGCTGCCAGGTGAATGGATACAGAGTAGCGACCACGGCATGGCCACATTTCGACAGGGTGCTAGCAAGGAGAAAGTAAATGGTGTCACACACAGATCAACACATGGAGGATGTTTCTGATATTACGGTAATTACAAATTGATACCAGTTAATGATCACAGATGAACAACTCTATGAATAAAGACCTATTAATTTTTTAAAATTTTATCTAGGAAAGCAATTTTTAACAGTAACTTAAGCAAGATCCATTTAGAAAGAAAATGTATTACAACCCCAAAAAGTCAATGTTACAACCTGATGCAAACAAATGGTTTTTTGATTACTTACCATTTGGAATTATCTATGTCACTATAGTATTAGGTAATTGAGAGACAAATGCTACATTTTTTAAATATACCCAAATTTTAAAGTACTAAGACTGGGGACCAGCAGATGGCATAATGGTTATGTCACTGGACTCCCACCTAGTCGACTGCGGCTTGAGTCCCAGACCTGGTGGCTTGAAATTCACACCAGGTGCTTGTGCGTGTGCGCACAAAACCTCAAGAGGAGAACGGAAGAGAAGGTCACTGCGGCGTGCCCATCCCCCACTGGGGGTTATTTTTTGCTTTCTGTCTGTCTCTCTAGCAAGTGCATGCACCCTATAGCAAAAAATCTCTCTCTTAAAAATAAATAAATAGGGACCAGCAGTTAGCGTAATGGTTATGTTTGCTGGACTCCCAATGTAGTCGACCGTGGTTCGTGTCCTGGACCCAGTGGCTTAAAACTCATGCCGGGCGTGTGTGCGTGCGTGCCCAAGATCCCGAGAGGAGAATGGAGGAGAAGGGATTGCGGCATGGCCATCCCCCCGGGGGGTGATTTCTCGCTTTCTGTCTCTCTCTGTCTGTCTGGTGAGCGCACGCGCCCTATAGCATAAATCTCCAAAATAAATAAATAAATAAATAATACGACCAGCAGTTGGTGTAATGGCTATGTCACTAGACTCTCATGTAGTTGACCACGGTTCTAGTCCCAGACTCGGTGGCTTAAACTCATGCCGGTTGCGTGTGCATGCATGCCCAAGATCCCTAGAGGAGAATGAAGGAGAAGGGACTGTGATGTGGTCTTCCCCCCTGGGGGGTGATTTCTCAATTTCTGTCTCTCTGTCTCTCTCTCTGTCGTTCTGGTGAGTGCACGTGCCCTACAGCAAAAACCTCTCAAAAAAAGAAAAGAAAGAAAGAAAAAACTAGTAAGACTAGTGAAACACCAGTATGGGGACTAGTAGATGGCGTAATGATTATGTTGTTGGACTCCTACATAGTTGACCACAGTCTGAATCCCGCACCTGGCAGCTTAAAACTCACGTCATGTGTATGTGCGTGTGTGCCCAAAATCTCAAAAGGAGAATGGAGAAGAAGAGACTGTGGTGTGGCCATCCCCCCAGGGGATGATTTCTCGCTCTCTGTCTCTCTCTGGTGAGTGCGCACACCCTATAACAAAAATATCTTAGGAAAAAAAAAAACTAGGAAAAAAATAATCTCTTTCTCTCTTAAAAAAATAAAACACACACACACAGTATGAAGTGACATATTTACTTATTTCTTACCTCAGATTATTGGCAACAAAGATTACCCTCCGCTCTAAAAGGAGAGAGGCACAGACTCGAATGAGATGACACACATTCAGGCACTTAAAGAGACATTCGAAGTCAACATGTTCCAATCGGGAATCTAGTGGTCGGCAGAGTTCAATGGACTGAAACACAAGAATCTGAATCAGGACAGCTGGTATTTGAAAACCATCCCTAACGACAACACTAATGAATCCCATCTTTCTTTTACAAGTTCAAGAAAGAGGGTGTACTACAAAAAGTTTGTGAAGTTGCCTACACTAAAGACCCAATAATCTTAAGACTTTATTTTTATGCTATAAATCTATAATAAAACCCTTTGTTCTACTTGATAACAGAATGTATAATCTTCATTTATAACAATGAAATTGTCATTATGAAGGGGCTCAACCTATGCATGATTAAAAAATCTCTGGGTTCTGGGTCTAAGATCAACTATCTCATAGATTGACTGGATATTTCTCTAGCCCTTTATAGGAATATAACATATTTGTCACGGTTTATGGAAAAGGTAAAACTATACCCTTGGGTTTCCAGGAACTCTTCCTATTAGTGTAAGGCCCACTTTTTGGTGACTATTAGATTTTTTTCAAAATGAGCTAACTTACCTCATCTCCAGCACCAGGGAGGTAGCTTTTAACTGTGATGGTACGTCCAGGAGCTGGGAAAGGGGCTTCTATGACGCTTCGCATGAATGGGTAAACAAGGGCTGGAGACATTTCTCTTCTCTTCTCTACTTCGTCTAGAATCTAACACAAGAAATAAGTTATTTCACTATGGAGTCAGCTCAAAAACATAAAAGAATCCTACTACTAGACCTGACAAATTTGGTGTACAAACTTGAAAATAATACTGGGGCCAACAGGTGGCATGGTGGTTGAGGGCGCTGGACTCCCTCATGGCCGACCGCTGTTCTAGTCCCAAACCTGGCAGCTTTCTCCCCATTGCCCCTCTCTCTCTTACTCTGTTCCTTTCTAGTCAAATTGAAATGAACAAATAAAATAAAGTTAAATAAAAATAATACCGATAGAATTTCTAAATCAATAAAAGCTCATTAAAGCATTATATCGCCAGGGGTATCTTTACAAGCCCACAAAAAGATACTAACAGGGGAGCCAGTAGATGGCATGAAGTTAAAGTGCTGAATCCCACACAGCTGACTGCAGTTTCAGTCCCAGAACCCCATAGCTTGACAATCACAGTAGGCATGTATGTATATGTGCCCAAGATCCTGAGAGGAGAATGCAAGAGAAACGTTCATGGTGGCCATTTGCCCAGGGGTGTGTCTCTGTCTGATGAGTGTACACACTCTATAGCAAAAACTGAAAAAAAAAAAAAAAGTAAAAACAATAAACAATGGGACC